CTGTCACCCCCAGATCCCGGCGCACCCACTCGGGGGGTTCCAAGGATGAGCCGGACCCTGAAACCTGGAGCAGCTCATCCTCCAGCTGTGCCCCCCAAAATCACAGGGGCCACATCCCCCCTGTTCCTGCACCGGTACCCCCAGTTCTGCACCCATTGCTCCTCCAGGGTGGCGGTGGAGCCGTGTCCCCAAGTGTCCCCAAGTGTCCCCAAGTGTCCCCAAGGCACCTGCCCAGCAAACTCACCAGCTGGAGGATGTCCTCGTCCTTGGGCATGATGGAGAGCTCCAGCACATCGTCACTGCGGGACAGGGGACAGAGGGGTCAGGCTGGGCGGGGTCAGTCCCCAGCTGTCCCCAAGCTCACACCTGGCTGCACCCCCCACCACGCGAATGTCCCCACGTGACGGTGGCAGCACGTGCTGCCTGTCCCCGGTCACCCGAGCGCCTCGGGGGGCCTGACAGTGACCCCCAGAGGGACAGAGCCTGCTGTGCCGTGTCCCCATCCTGTCACCTGCCATCCCGGGCAGGGCACTCACCTGTTCTGGATCAGGGCGATCACCTGCGAATAGGTTTTCCCGATGATGCTCTCCCCGTTCACCTTGACCAGCCGGTCACCTGCGGAGCCCGGGGAGGGGACAGCGTCACCACCAGGGAGTGGTGGCACCTGGATGTCCCCACGGTCACTCAGGGCAGGGTTTGAGCAGATCCCGCGTGGCAAAGGGACCAACGGGACACCCCAAACCCAGGAGAACCCCCGGGGACCCCAGGGCTGCTCTGAGCACCCCAGGGCCGGAGGGAGCAGAGCACTCTCAGAACCAGAGAGAAGGGGCAGAAAAGAGCAGGAACGCCAGGGAAAAAAGCGCAGAACAAGCACGAAATTCCCTGGCGGAGGAGGCGGAGCGTTCCCGGGATCCCTCCGGCCGCCTGGAGCCACCCCCGGCTCCGCGTCCCCGCTCACCCGTGCGCAGCCCCGCCTGGTGCGCCGGCCCGTCCTCCCGCACGTTCTTCACGAAGATCGTGTCCATGG